TCGTTTAATTATTTTCTAGATCAATTAATTTAACTTGCTTAACACTAGATTGCCGGAACGAGTCAATTTGACTTATTTAGGATTTTATTGCTATATATGTAGAAAAACTTAAATAATTTATTTTTAAAACATATGTTGGTTTTTAATAAAATTATGAAATGTATACAAATGCTAATTCCTTCCTCTCCCCCCTCCTTAGTTCCAAAAATCTATATCTGCTACACCTATTTTGACGAATGTGAGTCAAATTGACTCATTAAATATTTTTAAAGTTGGTCGTTTTACATTGAAAAAATTTCTATGGACAAGAAATTTTTTTTAAACAATCCGATTCGATAATTTTCATGTTCAAACTTGTCAATTTACTAGTTAGATATCTATTACAAACTTGCACATTCGATATTGTGAAATTATTTGTTGGAAATTTTTTTTGTTGAAGGCTTTTATGAAAGCTCTGATAAAAAATTCTTTGTGTTCTTCCATTTCGATTTATGGCATCGGAGAGAATAATGCATTGTTGGTAACACAAACAAAAATAAATGTTATAAATTATTTTTGAAGAATTTTTGCGTACCAAGGTAATTTCAGAATTTATTTATAAGATGTATTTACGTAAATGTAAATAAATATTTTAGTTCTAGATAAGGGTTGCTATTGTGACAAAAAATGTAAGAGATCTTGAATTGTGAAAAAAACTGACCCAAATAAGAGGAAACCAATCAGATACCGAATCCGATGCATCTGATTCTGAACTATATGAAATAGAGAATCGAGCTAATAGGATTGAATTTTCGAGCAGGGAAGATGAAGATCTTCATCATGCAGCTCCTTGAAAAAGACGAGCTTGTTTTCTATCTGAAAGTGAATCAAGTGCTAGTGATAGCGATCGTTACATAACTCTTGGCAAAAAAAGAGTACGATATATTCCTGATTTTGAAACCGAAAGTGAATTAGACCCTGCAGATAGATCCGATAATGAAGAAATTTCAACACAAAGGGCTGCTGATGGGACATTATGGGAAACATTGAAAGATGGTAAAAATACTGGTAGATTTTCCGGTCATACCAAATTCAAAGACGTCTTAGGGCCAACTTCCTACTCCAAAAGAAATATTATACTTGGTACTGTAAAGAGTGCTTCCAGAATATATATGTAACAATTGTTGTTTCGAATAAAGTTTCATTAAAATAAAATTTTTTTTTTTAACTCAATTTTGAAGTTTGAGTCAATTTGACTCATTTCAGGCAAAATAGGTATATACCCAACATCCGGCAATCTAATGTTAACTAGAGTAGGTGTTTATTGTAGTTATATCGGTATTACAATGGTTATTACCCGTGTCTTTTAAATCAAGGATTAATTGAACGACTTGATGGCGTCTAGAAACCGACAGTGCTTATAACGGGAATAATGATGTCTATTCGCCTTATGTTGAATATTTAAACATTATGTCGGAAGATAAATAGGAATTAAACGATGTGTATTAATGTAGTTCATAAAATGTTCAGTTGATAGGAAAACTAGCTGCAAAAAACACGTATACATTGAAAGACCGTCCCGCGATCTTAATTAATAATGAAGCACTCATCCCAGGCAACCCATGAAGTGGAATATACGTAAATTAATCGTCTAAATTAGGTCTATAGGTATAGCAAATGTATATCGTCTATCATCCACCTAAAAAAATATCTAAAGGATATATATATATATAAATATCTATGGCTATTGTAGATGAAAATTATATATCCACTATTGATCTAAAAATATCTACTTATTTCTTGGCGCATACAAAATATATAATAGCTCTGGTAGACATCTACCAAAGGTTAATCGACATCGTTGAAAATACGTTTAGAAAAATAAAAACATTCCTCATGTAACCTAACATTTTTCATCCATACTTAATCGTAATATCAAAATTCCAACTTGATAAAACTACTAATTTCGTCCATACTCTGATTTTTTATTTACTTCCTCTTTGGCTGGGGACCAAACATCATGATTTTTTATCACAGTNAAGTGGTCTAAGTCATATATTTTTTGTTTCGAAATTACATTGAATTAATTTCGTTTGAAATAATATGGCGTGAAATAACTGACAAACTCATTTTTTTTTTTAATTTTGACAGACCACTTTCATAATTATGGGCACATATATATCTTACATACGTTCAATAAACATTTATATACGATTAATTTACGGATATTTCACGTTCCGCGGTGCCTGGGACTAAGAGGGGGCAAGGTGAGAAGGAACTTCTGGTGAAATCCATGCAAAATAAAAAAATTGTATAAAAATTAAAATCTGCAAATTTAGTAGATGTTTCGGCCATTTGAGTATGCCTAAAACTATTATTATTATTATTTCAATTCAACCACCCCATCGCGACGAAAATTGAAATCAAGGACAATTATCATTTGCCGTCTAATCGTACAATTTACATATACACTCTTGATATGATCAGCGTCACTTTAGTTCATTGCAAGCGTTCAAGAGGAAACATTGTAGTTAATGAATAAAAACAAAGAAAATGTTACGCCTTTTTCCCATATACGTTCGGCATTGAAATTTACAATGTTTTCAGGTCCATTCCTGACATTTATGAAGTAAACTTCTTAACTTCCAGCAAAGACAGGTAGGACTAAAAAATTAAAGATAATCCAAGAATAATACTTTTAAAGTTTCGATCTTTGAATTCAATCTTAACAACTTCATAGATGCTTTCCACAAAATCAATTCCCGTTTGTAGTGCATCTCTCCCAAACCATTTAAAGTTTACTTAGGTATAATTGATCATACAAGAAAGAACAAAGAAGTTAAAATTTGGAATTTAGCATATGTAAATTTGTCAGGGACGAACGTTGTTTTCTCGTCAAGATACATCTCGTAATACGCGTGCATGAGAACAATGATAATCAGGGAGTGTGCGTAAGAGGGTGAGGCACTTATGAATGGTCTGCAACTATTGTTATTTTCCATTGTCGGTACGTTGGGAGCGCCATTTTTCTTTCCTTCGTTTCACCTCGCCCAGTGGCACGAATCAATGGTAAAGACTAAAATAACAAAAAAAAATGTTATAAAAAATTCACGATCCACTTTCCGAACTGTAGATTCCGTGGTCCTGATGAAAAGGAAACCGCAAAGTTCAGGAGAGATCAGCCGGTCGGGAGCCTTCCGATAGAACCTGGAGATTTGAAGGAATTTAAGGTGAAGTGAAACATCCTTCAAATCAGTCGATTCAAATACAACACTTTCTTTTTAAGGGCATTAGACCAAACTGTCCGAAACTTTGACACATCACTCCTGATCATCTAAGAATTGTCCTGACACATTCAAAATTTAGATTTTTTAAACAAATTCTTTAACTCAGTCCAGACCAGAACCAAAATGCCGCCGAGCTCTCATATTTCGATCAATATACAATTATCGAAGGCTCTGATATGAGAATCGAAAGGGTCAGGACAATTTTACGACAATTTAGAACACTCTGGTAGTCGATAAACTCGCATTTCAACGGGATAAAGGCAAAAAAAGTGTTGTATGCGCTTCTTTGCCAAAACGATGGGAATACGAGGTGTCGGAGTGAAAATTTAATTGACCTGGAAATCAGAGATGGCGCAAGGGGTCCCTCTGCAGTCAATTAGGGCCCCAGAAGGCATGAATCCAGAGGATTTCTGGAGTTTTACTTCGATTTATTTATAATTATTGTACGAAAACGACAGGTGGAATATGCCATTTGGTACAATACCAAATATAATTCGACCCAGCTGTCGATATAAAAACGAACGTCGGCAGCGTAGGCATGTAGAAAAATCTTCTTAATCGACGTTGATCAAGTTCCACGACGTGTTTCACTTCACCTTAACCCATTTTCGCGGCGATGTTTCCGTGGGATGTTCGCGGAGGGTGCGGTCGAAGGGAGGGTCAGGTGGTTTGTCGTCGAGGATGTGTCCTTCGAGCTTATCGATCGACCTTTGGGGACCGAATGCCTCTTCGAGGCTTGTTCCTTGCCCGGTCCCGAATTGGTCCTGAATAGCTAGGTACCATTTCGGTCCTCGCTCGGTCCGGATTCTGGTCCTGGCATCAAACGACCTCATCATCCTTAAGGCGAAGTGAAAACCCCTTCAAATCAGTCGATTCAAATATAACACTTTTTTTAAGGGTATTAGACCAAACTGTCCGAAACTTTGACACATCACTCCTGATCATATAAGAATTGTCCTGACACCTTCAAAATTTGGATTTTTTTACAAAATTTTTTAACTCAGCCCAGACTAGAACCAAAATGGCGTCGAGCTCTCATATTTCGATCAATATACAATTATCGAAGACTCCAATATGAGAAACGAAACGGTCAGGACAATTTTACAACAATTTAAAACACTCTGGTAATCGATAAACTCGCATTTGAACGGGATAAAGGCAAAAAAAGTGTTATATGCGGTTCTATGCCAAAACGATGGGAATACGAGGTCTTGGAGTGAAAATTTAATTGACCTGGAAATCACAGATGGCGCAGGGGGTCCCTCTGCAGTCAATTAGGGCCCCAGAAAGCATGAATCCAGAGGATTTCTGGAGTCTTACTTCGATTTCTTTATAATTATTGTACGAAAACGACAGGTGGAATATGCCATTTGGTACAATACCCAATATAATTGGACCCAGCTGTCGATATAAAAACAAACGTCGGCAACGTAGGCATTTAGAAAAATCTTCTCTATCGACGTCGATCAAGTTCCACGACGTGTTTCAGTTCACCTTAATGCTCGTTCGTCTATCCTTCCGTTCATTTGTCATTTATCGCTGGCCGTTTCTGTTTGCCGTTTGGCGGCTCTGTGACCGAGACACGTAAAGAGAACGTAATAGATGCGACCCCGTAACGAGGTTAAAGCGAAGAGCGGAAGGACGCTCTATTCACAGCCTTAATTGCGACGGATATGAATTCACTTTGTTTCCACGTGGCTCTCGGTAAAGCCGGAAAGGGGTGAAATTCATTTTCTAAGATCGAGAGAGACGCTTTCGAGACCTCGTGGATTTTGACCTGTCGCTAGAACGTTGGATTAATAAAGTAATTACTTATCGGTATCATTTTTCCAGTCAAAGGAGAGCACACGGAGAATGTTTAAGAACGGGGAGAAGAAATCTGTCTTTGCCGATTTAAATTATTGGCATTGATCCATTACGATTAAATTTCTTAGCAATGATTTGGATGGTAGACGGTTACAATTTGTGATAAGTAATAATACATTTTTCCTCCTAATTATGGAAGACGTGAATTGAGATTACGGGATCTTAATCTATCGCAAAGAATGAGTGCGAGGGTTAACGATCAGAGATCAGAAGTATAGTTTACTAATTTTTATTTGATAAAGAAATTATATGTTTAATTTAATTACTTACGAAGAACAGACATTTTGTTAACACCTTATGTAGAGACACAACAATATCCACTGGTAGAGACCAGTCCCTCCTGCTAGAACTGGAAGAGATAAAAGTAGAAGAATAGCAGTAATGTTAGTAGATCACGATAAAAGGGAAATTTTGTCTATACTAAGACTCTTATTACGTATATTGATGATTGTAGAGATAAAGTTAATAGCTCCTATAATAGAAGATATACCTGCAATATGAAGGGAAAAAATAGATAAATCAACAGCTAGGCCTACATGACCTGATGAAGAGAGAGGTGGATAAACTGTTCATCCTGTTCCAACACCTTTACTAGTAAATATACTTGATGATAAGATAATAAGAGCAGGAGGAAGAAGCCAGAATCTTATATTATTTATTCGTGGAAATGCTATATCTGGAGCTCCTAACATAAGTGGAATTAATCAATTACCAAATCCACCAATAAGAATTGGTATAACTATAAAAAAAATTATGACAAATGCATGAGAAGTTACAATAGAATTATAAATTTGATCATTACCAATAAGAGGACCAGGGGTACCTAATTCTATACGAATAATTATACTTAGAGAAGATCCAACTATTCCTGCTCATATTCCAAAGATGAAATAAAGTACACCAATATCTTTATGATTAGTTGAGAATAATCATTTATTCATAAAATAGTTAATGTGTCTGAATAAAGTTATAAATTGTAAATTTATATAAAAGAAAATGATTTTCTTCATTAAGAGATAAGTTTTATAGTTTAATAAAAATTTTTAATTGCAAGTTTAAAGATACATTTAATGGTTAAAACTGGTAGAAACCAGTGGATATTGTTGAATTTATAGACGATAAGCAAAAAGTTCGCAATTAAATGTACGGCAAACAACGAAAATGACTCTTTGTCATTTTTCGTTGTTTAAGATGAAACTTTGAGGAAATTCAAGTAATTTGTTAGGATTTCTATAGGCATGGCACAAGAATATAGGTCAAATTAAGGTAAATCGATGACAAAGGTTTTAATGTTGATTTACATATTATCTACACTTCTATCGCAATTTGTAAAATATACCAGACAAGATCTTAACGAGGTTAAAGCGAACGTGAACGGGCGATCAAATCTAACCCTAATTGCGACCTTCGTACAATAGATTCACTTAGGGGAGGCGAGAAAATAAGAATAGATCTAACAACCCACTGATTAAAGATATAACGTTCCGAGTTCCGTTTCCACATTTATCTGCCATCAGAAATATTTCAGATTTGCAAGGAGCTGACAAATTCGACGACCGTAAACATTAGGATTAAGGAATTCTTGACTCAATTTTTCTTCCACCAATGCTTTTGAAAAATAATTATTTTCACGGTAGCTCAATGTATTTTTGAAGTTGAAAACGTGTAATAAAACATGCTTGATTCATCACAGCTCAAATAACATCATGTTCGAAAAAATAATTTAGTATTCAAATAACAGACGGAAGGCGCGGTTTTCATAAAAGGGCCTTAATCTGTTCTGACTATAATATATATTAAAAACGTATTCTTAGGTGTACAACATTTAATCCAGTATCTTTTATAAAGATATGGAACATTTATTTAAAAAAAGTAATCCACACTTAAATTCTCGAAATATTTGCCTTTATTTTCTATAACTGATCTTATCTGTCGCGCAACTGGTGAATTCTCACTCGGAGGAAATGGCGGAATCTGCAAAATTGTCAATATATTTTTCAACCTTTTTGTTTCGTATCAGCTGGGTGTTCTGCAGCGACTGACGTAGGTATAGGTATGATGATACAATGGGAGCAGGTCCTGTGAATAAACGGTATGAAAGAGAACTTCCCAGCCCAAGGAATAAATAACGTTCTTTGTTTCTTTCACTGCATGTGGCAGAACGTTGTCATACTGTGGAATGGCTTGCCCAGTTCCGTTGCTAGTTACTGGTTTTTTCCGCTCTATTTCGTCGCTCAAATGGATGAATTGAAACATTTTGAATTATCAGCTAAGCTATATTCCAGCTATCCATAATATCCCTTAAGGTGAAGTGAAACACCCTTCAAATCAGTCGATTCGAATACAACACTTTTTTCTAAGGGTATTAGACCAGACTGTCCGAAACTTTGACACATCCCTCCTGATCATCTAAGAATTGTCCTGACATATTCAAGATTTGGATTTTCAACCAAATTTTTGAATTCAACCCAGAACAGAACCAAAATGGCGTCGAGCTCTGATATTTCGATCAATATACAATTATCGAAGGCTCTGATATGAGAATCGAAAGGGCCAAGACAATTTTACGACAATTCAGAACACTCTGGTAATCGATAAACTCGCATTTGAACGGGATAAAGGCAAAAAAGAGTTGTATGCGCTTCTATGCTAAAAGGATGGGAATACGAGGTCTCGGAGTGAAGATTTAATTGACAGGAAATCACAGATGGCGCAGGGGGTCCCTCCGCAGTCAATTGGGGCCCAGAAGGCATGAATCCAGAGGATTTCTGGAGTTTTACTTCGATTTCTTCATAATTATTGTACGAAAACGACAGGTGGAATATGCCATTTGGTACAATACGCAATATAATTCGACCCAGCTGTCAATATAAAAACGAACGTCGGCAACGTAGGCATTTAGAAGAATCTTCTTTATCGACGTCGATCAAGTTCCTCGCCGTGTTTCACTTCACCTTAATGCCCTACTAAATATCGACCTAGCAAATGCGGACAAATATCACTTTGGACTGAACGTTGGGTTTCGAAATCAAAGTTAAGGGTTGACGCAGTTCAATCTACGATTTTCGGTTTAAAATTGTACCAAACCAATTTTTCATCATCGGTAATGATTTTGCGCGAAATGTTCTTTCGTTTAAGGTGAAGTGAAACACGTCGAGGAACTCGATCGACGTCGATAAAGAAGATTTTTCTAAATGCCTACGTTGCCGACGTTCGTTTTTATATTGACAACTGTATCGAATTATATTGGGTGTTGAACCAAATGGCATACTCCACCTGTCGTTTTCGTACAATAATTATAAAGAAATCAAAGTAAAACTCCAGAAATCCTCTGGATCCATACTTTCTGGGACCCTAATTGACTGCAGAGGGACTCCCTGCGCCATCTGCGATTTCTAGGTCAATTAAATCTTCACTCCGAGACCTCGTATCCCCATCGTTTTGGCATAGAAGCACATACAACACTTTTTTTTGTCTCTATCCCGTTCCAACGCAAGTTTCTCGATTATCAGAGTGTTCTAAATTGTCGTACAATTGTCCTGACTCTTTCGTTCCTCATATTAGAGCCTTCAATGATTTGAAGAGGGTTTCACCTTAAGCACTCGTATCTCTCAGTACATGTCGCAAAAAATGTACTTGGTAAGCTTCGCTCTATGAATAAAAAAAAAACGGATTTACGTATTAAATTATGTGAAAGAAATGTAAATAACGCATGGCTTTCATTATTATTATTATGCTCAATAAGTCCGTATCGAATTTCAAAGGGGGCCATCAGCTCTACCGCATTCCATGAAGCTTCCGCTAACGGAATACGCACTACATATTATGTACGAGGGTCTTAATACGTTTCGACGCGTACGGGGTATTACGGTCGGTGTAATGCGTTCTAAACTCTGATGTGCACCGAAGCCAAGTCGAGCTTAATGCTTCCTAATGCGCACGAAAAGCACCGGGTGTGCGTAACGCGCCTCGACGAGAGTAAAGGGCTACATTAGACCGTGTAACGAGTTAAGGTGAAGTGAAACACCCTTCAAATCAGTCGATTCGAATACAATACTTTCTTTTAAGGGTATTAGACCAAACTGTCCAAAACTTTGACACATCACTCCTGATCATCTAAGAATTGTCCTGACACGTTCAAAATTTGGATTTTTTAACAAAATTTTTTAACTCAGCCCAGACCAGAACCAAAATGGCGTCGAGCTCTCATATTTCGATCGATATACAATTATCGAAGGCTCTGATATGAGAATCGAAAGGGTTAGGACAATTTTACGACAATTTGGAGCACTCTGGTAATCGGTAAACTCGCATTTGAACGGGATAAAGGCAAAAAAAGTGTTGTATGCGCTTCTATGATAAAACGATGGGAATACGAGGTCTCGGAGTAAAAATTGAATTGACCTGGAAATCACAGACGGCGCAAGGGGTCCTCCGCAGTCAATTAGGGCTCCAGAAGGCATGAATCCAGAGGGTTTCTGGAGTTTTACTTCGATTTCTTTATAATTACTGTACGAAAACGACAGGTGGAGTATGCCATTTGGTACAATACCCAATATAATTCGACCCAGCTGTCGATATAAAAACGAACGTCGGCAACGTAGACATTTAGAAAAATCATCTTTATCGACGTTGTTTAAGTTCCTCGACGTGTTTCACTTCACCTTAATGCGAAATACTTATCCGGGGAAATTTAAATTCGATTAACCGACGCGGCGATATGGGTTCCTCGAGTTCGGTCGATGCCGAAAACGTCACCCAGGAAGGAGGAACTCGAGGACCGGGACTCTCGGCGATTCAATTCGAGGTCAATTCCAAGGCGACAGGCCGGACATGGTCGAGAGGTGGAGAGCAAATAAACCGAAGTTGTGCTCCTCCCTTATTCATAGCCAATGTCCCGGCTCGTGGCGAAGCCAAGGATCGGGTGTTTAGAACTTGTATAGAGACGCGTCATTTCGCTTTCGAACCGCTTCGGGAGCAGCTAATCTAAATCGATTACTGAAATTTCAAGATATCATAATTATGCGGCGTGAACGAGAATTACGTTCCAGATATTAAGGTGAAGTGAAACCCCCCTCAAATCAGTTTATTCGAATACAACACTTTTTTTTAAGGGTATTAGACCAAACTGTCCGAAACTTTGACACGACACTCCTGATCATCTAAGAATTGTCCTGACACGTTCAAAATTTGGATTTTTTAACAAAAATTTTTATCTCAGCCCAGAGCAGAACCAAAATGGCGTCGAGCTCTCATATTTCGATCGATATACAATTATCGAAGGCTCTGATATGAGAATCGAAAGGGTCAGGACAATTTTACGAGAATTTAGAACACCCTGGTAATCGATAAACTCGCATTTGAACGGGATAAAGGCAAAAAAAGTGTTGTATGCGCTTCTTTGCCAAAACGATGGGAATACGAGGTCTCGGAGTGAAAATTTAATTGACCTGGAAATCACAGATGGCGCAGGGGGTCCCTCTGCAGTCAATTGGGGCCCCAGAAAGCTTGAATCCAGTGGATTTCTGGAGTTTTACTTCGATTTCTTGATATTTATTGTACGAAAACGACAGGTGGAGTATGCCATTTGGTACAATACCCAATATAATTCGACACAGCTGTCAATATAAAAACGAACGTCGGCAACGTAGGCATTTAGAAAAATCGTCTTTATCGACGTCGATCAAGTTCCTCGACGTGTTTCACTTCACCTTAAAGCCAATCTACTTTGAAATGCATTAAACACGTGATGAACATCTGTAGGTGCAATACCGTGGCATGATTAAATCAATTGTATTTACTCCGGATTTAATATAAATCGAAAATATTGAACTCGTAAAAATATCACTGACCTCTGCCGTATTCCGAGAAATGAAAATAACGAGAAAACGCCTGATTTAACAAACATGAAACGACTGCAAGATATTCCTAGTACCTATGA